AGTTTGGCCATATTATCTTATTCATAATCTCTTAATGTATCTTGAATATACTGAGATTTCCTATAGGAAAAAAAACATTTTTCTCATTTTATTCATGAACTAATCAGATTTATGAGTATCGAAATGATTTACACAGTTTTGTCCTACATAACAGACACATAAATACAAAACTATCGATTTTCTTTATGAACACTTATCATTCGACCATGTTTTTCTTTACTTGTGATTATTCATAATGTTTGGATTATTCTCCTACTAACTTTAATTGAATTAAAAATCTAGATGGATTCATAAAATGTCAGTTAGTACACAAGTAAAAGTCTTTGTATCTAAGGTGTTAATGTCTAATCTCAACCAATCTACGAGATTACGCGACCATCAATAGTGGTCTAACATCAATCGGTTTATGATCTCAATCAAAAACTTAATAATCTCCACAACCTCCATACTGATAATTACCATGTGCTCACTAGTCACTAGCTTCGTGAGGGAATCCTCGGACTGTTAGTGAGAAGCCGTGACCAGTGGAGCTAATCCGTATCGGGTATAGACAGGTATCTACCTCATACAGTGGAAGATGGTCGTGCAATTTCGTGGATTGGTTGGTGTTAGACACTAACATCATTGGATGCCGGCTCAGTGGTCCAGTAGACTAAGCGTTCGCGCGCGAGACTGAAGACCCTGTGTTCAAATTCCGTGAGCGGGATCATGGAGAAGTCCCACAATAGGATGAAACGGCCGTCCAGTACTTCCAGGTTTCCAATGGTGGTGGTGATCTCAATCGAAAACTCATGATTATTATTAATTTTTGGATTGTTCTCCTTAATTAAAAATTTATATGAGTTCATAAATACCAATTAGTATACAAGTAAAAGTCTTTGTATTTAAGGCATTGTAGATCACCAACGTAGATGATCTATGTCGAATGATTAGAGGCCTACACGAGTTGAACGAGAAGGGTGTGATGAACCAACTAATTTGGAAATCACACCTCGCGGTTATCATTTCACATGAATTATCCCTTCGATGTATCAAAGTACTATGGCTACTTTAAAGACCATACAACACAAAGGACGTTATTACGGAAATATATTTAGTAAGTATGAGTACAGAGAAGATAATGAGACCGTCACCGAATGCTCCATTCCATGACATACGACTAAGTGATGCGCGTTCGTTGTTCTTGTTCTTGACGAGGATCGATGATCTGTTTGATATTCAGTGACCCAATTACCGAATGATTTGACTAGGGTCTAGTGATATTTAACTGGCTCTACACCATATTGTGAGACATACTAACTTCATCATACATTAATCAAGTAATCTAACCTGACAATTAGTAGCTTAATTATGAATTCTATCAACATTATTAACCCTCTATACTAATAAACAATAATAAATATTAACATCTTTATTCAAATAATTTAAAAAGTCAGTTTCAAGATTATCTTAGTAGTGAATTACTAATCAGATGTGATCCATTAAGTTAGTTTAAGTCAATTCCATTTACTATCAGAAGGGGTTTTATGGAGATTGCAGTAATTTCAATAGTTGAAATCATGAGTCAATTGAAGTTAGACCACTATGGAAATTCTGGAAGTAACCCCATTTACACGAATTATCTCTTCGAATGAATCGATTATATCAATATTATCGAAGAGACTACTATGTTCAACTGAATTGTACAAAATAATAATGAATGTTTTTTAATTCAATCGTCTATCTCACCAGTTGTCACTCTGTTGGTTAAATAATATTGAACTAATTTTACTGATGATCATAATTTCTATGCTCCGAAAGACCATTATTATGCATCTGTGACACTACACTGTATCTAGATCTTGAACCTTTAGGTCTTACAGTGTATGCTCAAAATATATTTGAGTCACAAAGCCTAAAATTCAACGATTCGCATCTCCAACATCAGTCAACTCATGATATTGTATCATGTCAATTCATGATTTAAAAAAAGTAAATTAAAATGTAACTAATTTACATGAATCATCTGTAACGTAGACAGTTAGATTCTGACTCACTGTGATACAAATGTATTATTCTCGCTTAAAGGATTGAAGATCATCAATTCGTTTTGTGTTCGTTCATACATATGTACTACAGGAAATATTTGTCGTAGTTCCTCTGATACTAGTCTATAATCAGTTCATGAATAAAAAATGTGATAAGAATGAGAAAAGAACAAATATTTTTGTGCCACTCAAATGAAGGAAATGAATGTTTAATGAATATATTATAGTTGTTTACATCTATTCCTTGATGTTTAGGACTACAATTATTTATTCCTTTTGACATCTGTGCATCCTGTGAGAATTGCCTCGATATCGCCCCAAAATGAAAAAGATTTTAGATCCAGCTGACGAGTTCTAAACAGGACGAAACGCCCAGCCTGGATTCCACTGCTAGCCAACATCGATCCTCTGCTTAAAAACAATATTTAATTTAGATTCTTTTTCACGGAATGATCTCGATCGGAGTACCACTAAAACTTTGAAACCATGAATGTACGTTTCGTGAGTTATGTTCTAATTTGAACTCGTCAAATGGATTTATCTGCATCTCAGAATTGATGTTCACTCCAGGACAAGAAACGTTTCTACTAAACTTTTAATCTTCAGGGCCTTTTTTATACAGATACTTTTAAGTTTGTTATATATATTAGGGATATCAACAAACTTCATGAAGATTTCATGCTAGTTAACACTCATCAACAAGGCGTGCAAGTAATTTGGAGGGAACTGATGTTCGTTGTGAGATTCGAAACTGATTCATTCAATTTTATGCTTTGATAAATTACCAGTAAACCATTTAGCCACTGATTGGACTCCTGTAAGAGTAATATGTTTCGATTGGGTCTGTAGTGACGTCTCAAACAGTCAAATTAAGTGACGAGGGTTCTAGTCCAACAAAGAGCATCAGCTTCATCGAGATTACAGGTACGTCTTACTGATGTGTGCTAATTAGCAAAACATCCAAGTCAAATAAGGTTTCCTATGTACTACCTTCAGCAAGCTGATGAAAACCGTTTGATTTGTTGCCTATAGAAACTATTTGCAAATAATTTTAAAATGTCAATAATCTGTTTTTCCACTCACTATGCTAAGCAGTGGCTTATTTGTTAAGATATTTGACTTTCAACCAACAAGTTCCAGGTTCGAACTTCATTTTACCTACTTCAGTTCGGGTAACTGGGTGTTATCACCAGTTTTTAAAAATAGTTATATCTTGGATCATACCTAAACACCTGCTGTATGAGTTAATTAACTAATTTATTGATTACCAGTTACCATATAAATTCTGATATAACAGGGAACCACAACAGAACATCATGATGTGACAATGATATTCAGAAAAATAAGAGGGAACTTTTATACAGTAAATGAATAAACAAAAATAATATTTGCTAAGAGTTAAAGCTACAGTTAAGACAAATTTCTTTCCTCATTTGAGTTGAGATAGCTCCTCCAACCTTTTGTGATGAATGTAACTCAAAACCACACTTCGGTCATTATTAGTTTCTATTCTAAGCTATACATGATGTCTTTTCAAGCCACTGAAGTTCTGTTATCTTCAAGACATCAATTAATAAGTCATGATAGAACGATAGATGTAGGTCTCATATAGTTATCCTCCATATCACAGAGCTATGACATAGAGTGACAATATTGTTATTACTTTGTTCTAGTCCCAGAAGCGACAAATAACACACGATGTTAAATTCTCTACAATGAATTTCGTAAATCATGACCATATCAACAAAATCCATGGTTTAACCAAAATGATCAATTCAGTAGGAAGTACAACTAATCTCTTTCACATATCATAACAACTAATTACTCTAAACCTAGTTGATATTACTATGATAGAATTATTACAAATCATATCCATCATTATTGTTTACTGAACCAGAGCAATACAAATCATAGATCCATCTAGCTTCGGTGACATTAAACCATTATCGTACTTGTGACTATATTGCCCTGGTACAGCAGAAAGTGGAGAGAGTCCTCTATCCCTCGAAATACTCTCACATGGCCACGTGCATACAATCACTGACAGGGAAGTCCTATTCACTACCACCTCGCACCAAAGGTGTTGTTTACCAAATTGAGAGGACGAAAACTGAATATTCGCCACTTTAACAAGGTCAGTGGACACAGAGAGTCCATCTAGGGGAGTTGGAAAACCACAATTCCAAACTAATGGTTTACATGGGCTTCAGTATCCTGAGAGAACAAATGGTGTATGAACCAATCGTTGGTCACCGACTACCATGAGACTGCATCTCTTGACGTTGCCCCACTGCCTTGTGGATTAGACCTTGAAGTCGAAGGCTTTGGGTGTGGTCCCCTGGAGAAACCACCTGCTTTGGTTTCGGCACCCGGTTAGCATCCCAGTTCTCACATAAATCGAATGCTTTATATGGTGCATATCTATTTGTTGCCTCCTTGTACTGATGTTTATGGGTTAAAATAAATAAATAAACTATATTGAATAAATTGAAAGAAAAAAAACAAACAAACAAACAGGAACAATCGAATACACACACACACACACACTTTCAGACTTAACTCTTCATGTCATTATTTGACAAATTTAATCGTTGGTTTGTTTGTTTTAACTCAGAAAAAGCAAAAAAAAACATTATCATCATCACCACCATATCATGTCCTATCGATTAGTTTGCCCCTAAAAATTGACATCCGTTTCTAAACTTTATCATTATATGGTTCTTATTCATAATCCAATCGCGTATATGAAAAAAGAAAAAAAAAAACATTTTTTTTAAATCGTTTCTTCTCATGAACATCGTTCATTAAATTGATATCTATGTACATAAGAGAGGGGGAATAGAGAAGGGGGGAGAATGAATAGACACTATCTATAATCTAACTCTTTATCTATCTAGATCTATACGCGTGCCTAAGCACTTCTTTATTGATTAATTCAATTGAAATAAAGTGCTTCAATTTGAATCATTGAATAGAGATCTAAGTGAATAGTAATCACAGTGGAATGAGAATTCTTTATGACACATTAAAAATATGAAATTAACTAAAGAAAAAAATGATTGTTAATTCATTTGAACAATCAACTATTCATTCTCATCGATTCATTTAAAACAACATTGGGAAATTGGGAAATCACAAAGGAGATTTGATTTTATCTTAAATTGATCTTATATTTTTGTATTATATTCATTAATAAATATGAATAATATACAACAAATGAATTCCATGAATACATGGTCAACACAACATCATCATCATCATTATCGTAATGCATTATTTAAACAACTTACTGATAATCTTCTAAATTCAACAAATGATTTAGATTCTATGTCAAATACAACTATAAGTAAGTGTATCATTCATCTTGATCTTTATTATTTATTTAAACACATAAACATTGATACAAGGAAGCACCAAATAGATATACACCATATAAATCATTCGATTTGTGTGAGGGCTGGGATACTGATCGGGTGCTTAGATCAAAGCAGGTGGTTTTCTTAGGAGGCCACACCCAAAGCCTTCGACTTGAAGGTCTGATCCACAAGGCAGCGAAGCAACGTAAGGAAATGCGGTCTCATGGTTCCCGGTGACCAACGATTGGTTCATACACCATTTGTTCCCTCAGAATACTGGAGTCTATGTGCACCATTGGTTTGGAATCCAGTTAAAGTGCTGGACATTCGCTTTTCGTCCTCTCGATTTCGTAAACAACAACCCTGCCATGGGAAGGCATTGAGCAGGACTTCTCTGGCAGAGGCTGTATACGCGTGGCCGTGTGAGAACATTTCGAGAGGGAGGGTGGGCCCACCTCACTCGGCCATACCAGGGCATTCGGGGGCAACCTTGATCTTTATGAAATATTTTTATGAGAAACGGTATAGTCATTTTTTATGAGTTGAGATCAATTTGATGAATTCTTTGAAGCTCAATGGTCTAAAGGTTAAGCGCTCGCGCGTGAAATGATATTTCCTGAGTTCGAATGTTATGAGGAAGGACAGTGTAGTCCTACAATAGGACAAAACGACCGTCTAGTGTTTTCAGGTTTTTCATGGTAGTCTAGCTTTAATTGACTTATGATCTCAACGACTGAAATGTAATAAATTTGATCGTTTATGTACTTGACATTGAAAACTTGTTTTAAAAAAGATTTTTTGGAAATTGATCTGTTATGTTTGATTAAGTGATCTTTTATAAAACATCTACTTGATCCTGTTTAATGTAATTTGATCCTTATAACAACTTATTATTGATTCTATGAATGGATCCTCTCATTCTCCCTTAAATTGTATCGTTTCAACGATATTTCCTATGATGAGTATTGGAATTTATATAAGTTGACTTTATTGTAGAAACAGTTTAGAATGATTTTATTAGTCAGGTACTTCAAAGTGAGAAAGGTGTGCTATATATGAAATGATGAGAATGATTTATTTGAATGACTCAACTAAATTACAATCCTTGTTTAAGATGCTTAAATGTTTGAATAAATGTTTTTGAGTATGAGATTGTGGAGATTGTTGAATTTCATTGAAAACATGGATCGATCTAAGTTCGGCCGTCATTGAAAACCTGGAAGTAATGGACAGTCATGCCATTCTAGTAAGGGAAACCTTAGCAGTGTGTATTCATGATCCTGCGCATACGAATTGGACCCAGAACCAAATGTCTTAGAGTCTCATACTAGGACATTACAGCCGTTCGCTGCTTCCAGATTTTCAACGGTTCATGATTTAAAATAAATTTTTTGACTTTGAATTCGAACTTACGACTGATGATGACAATGGATTTTAATGTGCATGTTTAATGATGCAACGCTGTAAAGATCACATTGTAGTGAACGTGGACACAAGTGGGGACAATCGAATGTATTTGAACACAGAATTACAAAAATTCTTAGTAAAATCTGATAAGTAAACAGTAAATACTTCATTTGCAAATTATCAGTCAATCGTCTCAGACTTTATTGTTCACACCAATCATTCTTTGTTCTCGTTTTCTTTTCTTTGATCTTCTTAACTTTCTGCCACCAGTTTCGATTGATGGTACATACTACTTATTTCTATCGATTTCAGTAGGACTCACAACAACAAGATGAGGTGTTCATGTCAATAAATTCACCTTTTATTAGTTCACAAATGATATTTTCCTAAAGCTTAATAACAGCCAATCAGCTCGTTGGACTAAAGACTTGCAAAACACATTGTAATTGATTATCAAAATACATGAAAATACCATGCAGCAGAGAAGAGGGGATAACCACCAGAATTCATTAGTTCTCAAAGTGATCACTTTGCATAACAGCATCTGGTCTACATATCTCTAAAATTCTTTCAACTTATCAGAGATTGTGATCAAACTCATCACTATCTTCAGTAGAACTAGATCGTGACTTTTGTTGAATAATTTGGCTGAGTTGCATAGTTTAGCTTTCAGGGATTTACTTAAGTGTTATCAACTTTTCTACGAATAAACGATTGTTTTAGTAAAGCGACCAAGTAATCTTTCATCTGACTGTCGTTGCACTGATTCGTTATTTCAGATAAAGTCTCATTCTATTTATTGACGAGAAAGAAAGAACTGTAGTTTCAAGATGGTCAAGTATCTTATTAAGTCTAAGTTTTTGCACAAATGAAAAATGTGCGATGCCTAATCAATGGTTGGAATCACTAAGAATTTTTTCCGAGTCATGTGGGTACTCTAGTTGGTGAATGACTTCAGGTCATAAATGACTTTTACAATACCTATTTCACACGGTTTTATTACTACAGTAGACCATAGCGTAGAAAATTAATTCATCGACTAGATGGAACTCGTTCCGGTACTTTTTTAACTCAAGTTCAGTAATATTCAATGAAGCTTCAAATAGTCTTTTTCATTTACAAGTATACTGACGTTTATGCTTAGCATAGAATTTACTTAGTTTAGTTGTTGAGCTTTAATCATTGATAATTTTTACAAAACGAACAAATCTAACTCCTGATTCAGTCAGTCAGTCAGCTACAACATAGGACCAGGCACATATATGCATCGGTCCAAGTTGCCATACCTCATTAACACAGCAAGATGGATACCGGATTCATAAAAGTAGTTAATTCAGAGGTGGTAACATATAAAAGAAAGATTGCAATAAGGATATAGTACAGGAAGAAAGAATTAGTTGGTAGAAAGAAAGATGTGAAGCGATTTTACTCTCTTAGTTTAAGGGAAGACAGGGAGTGTATACACCTACATCATTGTGATCGATTCTGAGTCATGTCACCTAGAGTCTCTAACCATTGGTTACGATAGTCAGGCGGACTCCAATCAAGTAGTCTGCATCTACCAACATGGCTCAGACTAGAAGTTAGTGACTTCAAGCACTGATACCACGTTTTGGTTTGGTCGCCCCTGATTACTTTAAACGTAATAATGCAGATCCTGTCGTGATGAATTGATGGCTTTGTGATCAATGTGGATAATGGCAAGGTGTAGAAGTACAACATCAATTATTAACTATTATATTCTTAGTCAAATATGAATTAGATATGGTGTAATTTGATATTTAAGATCCATATTACGTCAACGTTGTTGGTAGATAGATGAACACAATACAACAGTCATAGTTATATTGACCTTTTTAACAGTTAATAACTATTTCGTTTTGTTGACATTAAGTCGAATAGTTCAACTTCTACATAATCATAATGATATTGCCACTGCTAGTCAAACCGGTAGCCATTTCATCACAAGTCAGAGAGTAATCCCCTAGTTTATTACTATATTTGGGTAAATACTTCCTCTGTAGATTTGTCATATTCTTCGTGTTGTAAGCCAATATGCAAACTGTAGCACCGAAATATTCAGAAACGGTTGTACTGAGGCGAAATGTCTTAATATTCAGGTGACCCTATGGCTTACACTATACTATGGACATAACAGTGATCCCTTTATTAAATTGTTTTTTTTTGGTATATTCATGCTACAGTGTATAGCATTTTCCCATATGAATGTATCTAAACCTTTTCTTTTAGTATAATGTTTTGTTCACTGAAGGGAACCAAATCATTTAGGTTTTAGAGTTTACACAGAATGGTAAAAAAAATTTAAACTACAGTTTCCATAAAGTAGTACTTTTATCATTTTCAATTTTCACTTTTTATCTTACAGACGATAAAAATGGTGGTGTTTCACCTCATTCTGATATTAAATTAAACATTCAGCAAGTGTTAAATGAAGAAAAATCTATTCAGACAGGGACAGAACTCACAACATGCGCGTCAACTTTTACCACTGGACGACCGTGTCTAGCTGGTACTCAAACACTGAAGCACCAGTTAACTAAAAATCAGGAAACTAATCTAGACATGACAAATACAAGCATTCTTAGTATGAACGCATGTGACTTTACACAGGACTCTAGTGGACTAGGGTCTATGATTTCTGAACATTGTAACACGAGCAATATTTCAGGTTATTTCAAGGATGGAGACCGGTCTGACTCACATTTACACTGGCCTAATCACAGTCTTATAACTTTAGATGAGGATACAAGCGACATGAGTTTGGATAAGAGTGATGATTATACAAACGGGCCATGTGATAATAACAGAGAAGTTCCGATCATTAAAACAGAATATCCACATCTTGAATCTCAAATAAAATCTCCCGTGTTGGCTATGCGAACTTCACCATCTAGCGAAGGAAAATCCGCCGTTCAATATGGTTCTGGTGATGAATTTGACTATGACACAATGGTTGCTCAAACACGAATGATCGCTAATCGGGATTTTCAGACAATGGATGAGAATTTCGCATCAGTGGCACGTTACGTTGAAGAGCTGACAGGCTGTAAAGAGTTGAAAAAAACAAATAACACAAAGGATAGCCAGATTACAAAGATTTCGTCCACTAGTAGACAAATAACTCCAGGCAAACCACAGCATCATCATTACCAGCACCATTACAACCAACAGCAACAACAACAACAGTGTGTGACTCAGTCAATGAGCTCATCACCTGTCGGTTCTGTTCGCCATCAACAAGATTATCAGCTTCTCAAGTTACAACAGCTGCAACAGCTCTACCAAAAACTTATTTCTTTACCATCAATGAAGCATCCCAAAGTTGATGATAAAAGTAAGCTCAAGTTTTAATTTATAACTTGATACTTTAAAATGTTTATCGCAAATTTATTGAGGAAGTTTTGATTGTCATTGTCTGATTCATAATAAACACTTAAGTTAGGAAAATTGAACTAGAAGACAGAATATCATTCCACTTACATTTTCAAAATGTCCGGTTAGTCTTTTTGACTAGAAACTTGATGACGGTTACTTCTGCCAATTTTCCCGGTATCCCGTGATTAGAATCCTAAATAGTGAATTACCATATAACTGCCCTTCATACATTTTTATCCTCGATTTGATGGGTGAATCACTCAAAGTTGAACTGTATGTACCAACTATTTCAAATCTCCTTTGCAAAGTTAATTGAAAGATCAAGCTAAAGCAATTCATCTTCATAGATTCATTTCAACTTTCATATATGTTAGGGAAAGGAAAACGATTAATTTTAACTTCTGTTTACATGTACAGGACTTTTAAACATTCATTTTACTGATATTTGGTTTCATTTCGCTTTATTTCAATAAACAGGTTCGACTGAATTAATAACTCAAGATTTACTCTTACGTCTTTTGACAAATCAGAACATTAATGAATCGCTATTGAGTAATCTCTTACCAAGTGTTGACACGGTTTTTGAAAAGAATAATCGAAGATCTTCATCAACAATTGGTCAGAATTGTAAACAATTTGGTATTTCAACAAATCAGTTGCCTAGAAATAACCGAAGAGTTGCACTAAGTGATTTAACTTCTTATGATGAATGTCTGCTTCGTAGTATCCTGTCTAATACACCTCATACATCAATGCAGAATAATTCGGATGGAATTCATCCTATTAATATGCAGGGGTTCCAGCACAATAATGAAAGTTTGATCACTAATTTCCACAATAGACGACTTAATCCACAACAGAATCCGTTATTATCTTCAAATTGTAACCAACTAGTTAATCTAATCTCACAGCTGGATACTAATGCTGTGAAAAATGATTTGCTTTCCCAAGCGGCACCTATGAATACAAATACTATGGCTTTATTAGCCAGTTTATTGAATACTACCCAGTCTCAGTCGAATTCACCTGTTATTAACACTAGTTCTACGCCACAAGAACAACATAATATGCTTTATAGTCTTTTAGCAAACCAGTTGTCCAGTTTTCAGTCCGATTCTGCTCTGAACAATAATAATGCAAACATCTCACAACTACTTCATGAACGTGCATCAAAAGAGCGTGAAACAAGCTTACTAAACTCTATACTTATGAAACCGGAATGTCATGGAGATAATATTTCACCTTCTCCACCTTCATCTTTGCAGCGTCGTCAATACACATTATCTGATAGTAGTTTGACAGAAGAACTTTCTCAGTTGGCTTTGCCTTATCAAAAGCTCATGAGTTCATTCGAAAATGACATCGACAAAGCGGCAAATGTTTATAGAAATTCTGCAAGTAAGTCTGATCGGTCTCTGCAACCTGATAAACTATTTTCGTAAAAATTCATCACATTAGAAATTAAATTGGGTTTATTCTTAAATGTTCAAAAGTAAATAATTCCCATATTATGTTCATCATTTTAGGTACAGTGGCTCAGACAAGTGAAGCAGCTTATCACTGGTCAGGAAAACTGCCAATTCGAGTCCACCGATCTATGACCTTCTCTCGCAAAGTATTTCTTGGTGGCGTTCCTTGGGACAGCACAAGTGATGAATTGATTAGGGCTTTCTCTCGATTTGGTAACGTCAGTGTCTGTTGGCCACAAAAGGAGGGATCAAGCTCTAGTAATACACATCTCAAAGCCTCATCAACTAAAGGTAGGTAATTTGAATACAAAAACTGATGTAATCTGAACCTTTCATCTGCTCTACTTTATTTACCGACCATTTTATTAAAATTATTATTTTAGGTTACTGTTATCTGATATTCGAACATGAAGTCTCTGTAACTGAACTGCTTGCGAACTGCGTTCATAACCCTACAACAGGTGGCGAATATTATACGATATCAAGTCCTAAATTCATATCCAAGGACGTGCAGGTTAGTTTATCCTACTAATCTACATCTTTATATCATTTGAAATTATTTACCAATGGAACCGCAGTACATTTACCTCTCTCTTTCTCTCTCCATTTATCTGCTTCATTCTAAACGATTTCATAAATTACATAATTTATGTCTTGACCAGATGAATAAATAGATCTATCATCTTAGCGAAAAAGAGTAAACAAATGTCCAGTATCCCAAACAGGTCCATAGACAAAATAACAGTCATAGTGTTACTCAGTTTGGCTTACTTTAACAATATTCTCACTAACCAATGGGTATACGTCAAGTAAACTTTAACAGGGTACTCAGGCATATTTATTTTTCGGTCACCTTATTAACTAATGTGACAATTCTAAAAGTAATTCAAAATTTTGTCAACATATTGAATTCTCTGAAAAATATCTCTGTAGCAAAGATGGGTAGTGGCTAGCAGTGGAATCCAGGACGCGTGTTTCGCCCGATGCGCCTGCAGCCGACGAGTCCCAAATAGCACGAAACACGTGTCCTGGATTCATAACTAGATATTCAAAACTAGATACAAAAGATGAACACTTATTTGGATTCACCGTAATATTCTGTTCAATTAAACGACGTAATAAAGCAATAAGTCGCTCTTCATAGACTACCTTATCAGAACCATGAACAATGAGATCATCTTGGTAAACTTAAACAACTTTAAAACCACTAAATATACTATTCATTACTTTCTGAAGTATGACTGGAGAACAACTTAAAGCAAATGGAAGGAAATTGTATTTGAACAGGCCAAAAGGAGTGTTAATTGGTGTATAGTAGTGAAAATAAAGTATGATTGGTCGTTGAGCGTGGACAAACCACCGCGGCCTACAGACTATTAAATATGTGATTTCCTTGCATATCGTTGATTTCTACTCTGAACACACTGTGTATGACTGCTTGCGATTGTATTGAATAAACTACTCTCTAGTGTTAATCATGTTCTCTATTTTGGGCCGCGAATCCTGCTTCTGATAAAGCATGATTAGTTTTATTACGTAACAACGAATCATCGTAATATTGTAAACCATTCGTTAAATCAAAGACTGATTCAAGGAATCTTGAAGATAAGCACCTTTGAAGTCAAGAACACCTTAGAACCATGAAGTCGATTGAGAATATCTTCAGCTTCCACTGTCGTGCATGTTTGCTTCAACAAGTAGGAGTTCAGTTTTAATCCATAGTCACTACATATTCCAGGGATCTTGCCACCAGACTTCAAGAGTGTAAAAATAGGAGTACTCCACGTGAGAACTGGACCGGTTCAATTATACGTCTCTCACACAAACTGCTCAATGTCTTATGTACTATTTCTCGAAGGCCATGAGGAATTATTCGTCTTTTGAGAAACACTGCATCACTCTGTACCTGAGGTTTTATAGATTGAATATTCATTCCTCTACTTCACTCAGCACACAGAGCTGTCGAATCTCTATATAAATAATTAGAATCTCCTTTAGAAGCTAATCAAGACAACTCCACTTTAAGAATACGTGTATATGTCCACCTTTATGTTATTACTAGTTAATATTTCACAAATAAATGAAGACCTTGTCTATCACCAAAGCCTTGCTGATGGTTCTGTTGAATAAAAAAGAATGGGGAAATATTTTTATAAACGTCGATGTATTCGTAAAATGTGAAATGCCAAATACATGGTTTTGATGCTATAACACTCAAATTAGTTTTTGTTGGAATAAGGCTACTTGTGATATAATCAAGGTGGATAAGGTCAATAATGCTTACCAAGGAATGGCCAGTTGTATTCTATCTTCTCCGTTCAGCTCATTCTGATTAACCCATATACTTAGGGCTTTCGCTGTGAATCTTTCTTCGTAGGCACCAAACCTTTCCTGAAGCATTTCAGCCGCTTCAAAGTTGATCTTGTGTCCTATTGTTATAGGACATAACTCTATTTCTGATCTATTGTCGGGTTTCTTGAGGTTCAAGAAGGATTTGATAACATGTTACAAACACTGTTTCTGTTCTTTTAGCCACACATTCAGCTATCTAGATATTTCTCCCATATAAACTGTATTGTGTTCATGTCAATTAATTTGATAAACAACGTAATGTTACGCTTCCTCCAGTAGCTCATACTTAACTTCAACTAAGGCCGATCTTAGAATATTAATGGCACGGGTAAAAACTCTTATCTATAAATTCACTAAAAATGGTGAAGTTAGGAATCCAGTTGCTACACCACTTTTTTTCCAGAAGTATGTCCTTGAAGTATGAATGGGGTGGATCGTAAACGCAGTTCCAAGCACTTAATGACCTTGAAAAGATCCAACTGTCATTATAAATAACCATAAAAAAACATCGAACACTCTATTGATAGGTATATCATTAAATGAGGATGAGATATCGAAACTTCCCGTCAGTTCATTATTCGCCATGTAACTGGTGCCGATATTGTTCTTGAAATCAGTAAAGTCTTTAATTTCATAACTAATCAATTTTTCATATGATCTAAATATCTTTGTTAAGTAATTCACTAGTTTGTATATTGGTGATTTGGTAAAGTCAACTACTGGTCTTATCGATGCATTGTTCTCATGAATTTTTGATAGTTCATAGAATCATTTTCAACGTTTAGCATTTAATGGTTGAGATTATGAGTCAATTGAAGCTAGACCACCATGGAAAACCCGGAAGCACTGAACGGACATTTCTTCCTATTGTGGGACTCCTCAGCAGTGCTTTACCTTTTAATTGATTTTGAAGTAACCAGTTTCCATTTGGCTCATTGATAGGCTACTAAAAAGTTTTTCATGTCCTCTATTTTAATAAAAATAAAGAGAATTTAGCGAAGAAAATTTTCTCTTCTTGATGAAACCAATTACTGAAGCTGTACATTCGTATTTATAGTTATATGGAAAACGTATGTCTGCAGAAGGATAGAAAAAATTGCATCATAAATTGATTTGAAACTCTTATTATCCGATGAGGTTACGCAATAATCAAGGGTTAAGGAAGAAATCATAAGGGTCAGATTATTGCCCAATTGACAAATATGAGGAAAAACGACAAACATAAAGGTCATCATCACAAAAAAAACTGAATAATAATCAAGAAAACTTGTTTGTAGGTACATTTTCTTCGCTGAATTCTCTTTATTTTTACTCAGTGACACAATAGGTTATCTTAATTATCTGAAGAGCTGTAGGAATCCTCTACTTCAATTTGAAAAAAAGCCGTGACCAATCGGGCTAATCCGTGTCGGCTAGGGTCAGGTATCTACCTCAGTACAATGAAAAACGGTCGCGTAATGTCGTGGATTGGTTGAACTTAAACATTAACACGGTTGGATGCTGGCTCAGTGATCTAGAGGTTAATCGTTCGCGCGCGAGACCTAAGACCCTGAGTTCGAATCCCACTGGCGGGATGGTGAATGCGCACTGCTGAGGAGTCCCACGATAAGGCGAAACGGTCGTCCAGTCTAGCATCAATCGGTTCATGATCTAAATATTAAAAATTGATTGTTTTTATAAGATAATTTGGTGTATTTATATTTCTAATCCACTTGGCTAAATAAAAGTTTAACCAATAAATTCAAGCCGCCGGTTTGAATATCTGGGCTACCTGTTGCTGACATCAACATGTCTCAACAAGTTACCTGTCTTTTGCTTGTTTTAACACATCATGATGTCAGTTAATTGCATCAGCTATTCAGGTGCATTTGTGAAAGGTTTACGGCCCTCCGATGTACAATGTATAAAACGTATAATCAGAGACTTGATGTTGGATGACAATATGCATTGAAAAGAATGATCATTGTTGAGATGTCGATTCCTCAACAACTAAGATCTAACTATTGATCACTCAATATTTGTCGTCAGAACAGATGGTTATCAAATTTCATTCAATTTAATCTTCTACCTTAATCCGTCGAATAAATCGACTGACCGGTTATCATTATTATTAACACAATTACACTACAGATTGTATCGGTGAATAATATCGTTTTTAAAAGTCTGTCATGAGTCATTTGGTGAAGTGAATTCTTCTTGACTGACATAATGTATGAAGGTATATAATTGTGTACGCTAGTTTAACATTACCAATATGTGAAGTAAACCTAATGTTCAAACTCTACTTTCAGGAATTCATTTATATTTGTGAAGGAGTTGTTAACGAAACTTATGCACTTCACTGAAATTATTTTATGCTATATATTATTTATAAAACTTGCTTTACAGGTTATACCATGGGTCATCAGTGACAGTCAGTACACAAAATCAACTCCCAGCTCTTCGGATATCAAGAGGACTGTGTTTGTTGGAGCGCTTCACGCTTTGATTACAGCAGAAATATTAGTAACAATTATGAACGACTTATTTGGAAATGTTATTTTCGCTGCTTTGGATACAGATAAATACAAATATCCAATAGGTAGGTGACTGTATGGCATAAATTATATGTAAACATCTATATGTCTCCAAATTCATACATTATTATTAGTCATTTCAGCGTTCCGGCGTTCCGTTAAACATGTTACCAAGTACCAAAATACTTATCAGTATCCTATAATTTCAAATTCAAATTATGAACGACCTTTAAGCGACGCCAAAGTGACTTTGAGAGTGTCTACCTATTTAGTAGGGCTAAATGAGGGTTATAAAATAGTTTGAAAAATAAGGATCATGATTCACAGTTGATGATTAAGGTTAAGAATTAGATATACGGTTTTTCATCATGAACCGACATTAGGTAAAATGCCACGAAGCTATTTGATCAAATGAGTGAATGAATTTCGTGCTAAAATGCAAGACTTGCTATTTTAAATCTGATTGGTTCATCCATAAATTATAGTCTCATCACAACCCAATTAAAGTTGGTAATACATTTAGAACAAAAAAGTTTTTTTAAATAGTATTCAGAATATTCGAAATGACTAAAACATATTTCTGATTATTCCATGTTACTAAGGAAATACTGAAGCAACCAAAAAAAACAGTTTCAATAAATCATGCAAATTAAGGCCAAGGTAACCGAGTTAAAAAGGAGTAAATGACGCAATTTCGATTGGTTTTGTATGAAGAATGATGATGTGAAGCTCGTTGTTTATTAATCACTAAACAAATGCAATATCTCATTCAGTTGTTATAGTGAATGAACCATTAAGAATAATCTGTCTGTCTGAAAATTGTATAAACATACTAATCAAAAGTGTATGTCGGCATTTTCTTTTCAAACAGAAATAATCAAAGGGTGGAAGTGAATTTTTCAAAGATACCAGAGATATTTTTTATTTTTATTTTTATCGTGATAGACGGAATATGTACTTCAAAAAGAAATAAGAAGGTCTATACATCGAGGAGATGAGATAATTTCGCTTTGGTTATTTTCTTATCAGTAGCTATAATGCAATAGTTGGAGGTCTAGATCAATGAAATGCAGGTTTAAAGTCAACACATAAAATCTATAACACCCCCCACCAAGTGAATAAGTTTGTTTCTAAGGCAAATATACTAACTTTAAAAAATTGATTGGATTGTATTAACTTGTCTACCTTGTATCGATTTTTTTATATATTTAGGTTCTGGGAGAGTGATTTTCTCTAGTCATAAAAGTTACATGAAAGCGATTACAGCCAATTTTGTGGATATTCGTACTACGAAATTTATTAAAACTATTCAAATCGATCCTTATTTAGAAGATGCTGTTTGTAATAGTTGTCTCTCATATCCTGGCATGTACTTTTGTAGAGCATTTGAGTGCTTTAATTATTTTTGTCCAGCATGTTGGCATATGTGGCATAATTCAACGGAAACATTGTATACACACAAACCTTTGAGGAGAACATTTAAACCTAATATTGATCGGCAGTGGCAAACTGGTGTGCTTATAACGACGACCACGACCACGACCACGACGACGATGACAGCGGCAGCGACAACAGTATCAGCAACGACAATAACAACAACAACACAAAGTAGATTTTAGTGAATAAATCTCTAATGTTACAATATGATCAATCCAACATGATCACCGTTATTTATTGTAATCGTTTTGAAGTTTTCATCATCTAATTCCGTCTTTAACAGTTTTTATTATGCATACATAAATAATTTAGCTCTGTATTCTTTCTGTTGTTTAACCTCCCTTTCATGGAATCGGATACACTTTATACTACTGTTATTCTTTACTCTCTTATTATGCACAAGTTTAATATTTTAAAATGTTTTAGTATGATCGTATAGAGAGAAAGTAATAATGATAATAACAATTCAGTTCTACACAATGTATCACCACTTCAATGATTAGTGTATGGTAGTAATAATAATTATATAATCCACTTCTATAATATTCCACTTCTAGTCTTTATCACTTTTAATCATAACCATTTTTGTTTCGTCCAGTTTTTTCGCTCCTGGAATTTTTAATAAACACAAAACACAGACAGATCAATTCGATCATCTTCTATTTTAAAACAATAATATGATTGTTGTATTGATGTATGCCAATTCTCATCTAGTTACTATTTGTCATATGAGAAAAGTTTGTTAAATCATCTTATTGTTCGATTTTGTCAATAAAATAACTTTTAATGAATTGGACATTTTGTTTTTAGTAATAGTTGGAATCATAATTTTGTATATCTAAGCCACATGTTGACTAACATGTGTTTGGTCTAGGATTGTTAAAGTGAATGTTTAGACTGTATATCATCGGTTTTGGAGAATTAAGTAGTTAGGTCATTGAAATTGATTGTTACAAAGTCCTGTTCTCTTCAGAATATAATTATTTGTTAGTTCAGTGGACCCTCCCCTACCCACGAATGCCCTGTTACGACCAAGAGTGCGGAAAGTCGAACAATCCGTCTCAGAGAACAAAACTCCATCAGAGTCATCCCGCCATCTTATGGTCACGTGCACACAACCAGGGAAGGGAGGGTTCACCTAGGGGAGTTGGAAAACCGCAATTCCAAACTAATGGTGTACAAGGCCTGTAGTATCCTGAGGGAACAAATGGCGTATGAACCAATTGTTGGTCACCGGCTACCATAGGACTGCATCTCCTTACGTTGCCCCACTCTCTTGTGGATTAGACCTTTATGTCGAAGGCTTGGGTTGTGGTCCCTTAAGAAAACACCTGCTTTCGTTTGGGCACTCGGTCAGCATCCTAGCCCTCACATTAATCGAATGATTTATGAGACGTATATCTATTTGGTGCCTCCTTGTACCAATGTTTATGCGTTTAAATAAATACAGTGAACCCATTTTTTACTTAATGAGTCATGGTGAGTAGTTTTGTGTTGAAATCTCTTGAATTGAACGAGAAGATAATGTTCATACATTTTCATGTGCATTCATTACCCAAAGGTGAACCCAGGCGTTTAACCGTAGAACTGATAAAATAAGTATTGAAAAAGTGTTTATGTATATTTATGGTGCAATTTTACCTGTCAACATGCAATTCAACTGATATAAAGAACTTAAACCTCATCTTACTTCGGTCGCCTGTTCATCATGTAATCATTTCCAACATACCAGTTGAAAAATTCGGCATTGTCAGGAATGAAACACTTCAAAAGAAAGAGAGGAGAAATTGAGTTCCTCTTAAATAGTCTCCCATTCCATCAAGGGGAATGTTAATAGTAGTACGTTATCAAATGGAAATATCTTGTACCCAAATCTGTTATAACATTTTAGGGTTATAATGTTACAGTAACTCAGAATTGTGAATCCCTGATAATACATTCCAACTTCATAGTCAACGAGGAACTCCTATTGAATCACATAAAATAGACGATTCAGCAATGAATGTTTCTTGTCGGTATTAAAGAACGAGATTATTCAAAAGTTGTTTTCATCAAAGCAAACCAAAGTTTATCATGCAAGTTTGTAACACTTTATGGAGACGATGTCTGCAGAGCAGCAACAGCTTAAGTGTGCATGTGCATGTTTTTACGCTCAAAACAAAGCATTTTTGAGCAATAGATAATTAAAATCTATTTAATTCAAATTCTTTATTGACCGTAATTTACTTAATTCTGAAGTGTTAACTCACTGTCTTAAACAAGATACCAGATATATAGTACCTTATGTAAGATCTTGGGATTATTATTGTAGGGCCAATGAAATGTCACTGAGCCAAATCATCTAGCAGTTGGGTCACTGAATATCGAACAGATCATCGATCTGTGTCAAAGTTAACGACAACCAACGCGAATCAGTTAATTGTATGTAATGGACTGACTCATGAGATGGTGGTCTCACTATCTTCTCTGTACTCATTCTTACTAACATATTTCCGTAATAACGTCTTCTGTGTTCTACAGTTTTCAAAGAATCTAGAGTACCTTGATACGACGAAGGAGTAATCGACGTTAAATGCTGACCCCATGATGTGATTTCGACGGTAGCAGTTGTTCACACCATTCCCGTCCAACTCGATCAGGTCCCCAATCAATCGACATAGATCATCAACGTTGATAATCTGCATTATCATTATAAAAAATATGAATGAAATAACGCTATGATTCTAAGGTAATTGTATTCGACATGAAAATTTTTAAATCTTACCACTAAAAGTAAAAATATTATCCAGACCTAACGGTCATTTTTTAAGTAATTCTGAAAATAATTTTATGGAGTTTTGTTCTCTGAGTTGGATGATTTGGTCGTGAAGCTTTCATCGTTTGTCTGAACGACATCATCAGTACAAACTTCAGGTAGAGTACTTATGACACTTTGGATTGAAATAAAATTATCATCTGTGCTAACATAAACGAGCAATCAAATCATATGAATTAGCACTTATCCAAAATGATTAATCTGAATTCCTTAAATAAGATCCCAAAGATTGACATACATGTAGCGGCGACAGAATATAGGATACTAGTATGCTATGAAATTAGGACATAGATAGAAGCGAAACAACTACTCACCAAAGTTTTTGGATTCCTATCATACCACATCACGAAAAAAACTGTTATTGTAAACAACGACTTCCCGATTCCAACATAGTGATCGAAATGCATACGATTTTTCTCGAGTATTACATACAATTAGTTGGATTACATTTCTAGTTGCTAATTTAAATGTGGTATACTTGAAGTCTGTCACTAAACACTACAAAACTGAGATAGATGCATGAGTTAAAGAAAGCCTAAACCCAGCAACAAATAGAAAAATAAGGTTTATTTCGAAGTACTATTGACAAATCGCAGTAGTAGTAGTAGTAGTAGTATTGTGGCGTGCACTATTTATGCGGCCAGGCATAAGTAGTATGTAGCTGGAAGTGGAAGTAGGATGTTTACGAGAAGCGGACTGACACAAAGAAAAGTTAAAGCAAAACCTAGTGCAATCGGAATTACAAAAGGATGGGAAGAATGATGAAATATGTAAAGGACAACTGAAGAAAGATATGTAAATGATATATTCAATGTATTATTTTCATATTTTGTGAAGGTACTGTTTAATTCTACTTAAAACAGTAAACAAGTTTTCCCCATCAAGTCCTCCTTTACTACAGTCGTAGTTTGCGCTGTCGGAATGTTCTCCAGTTAATACTTTTATCACATTTTATTTGAATCATTGTGTATTATACGAAATCATGCATGACACTGCATACATAGAATCAGCCTGCTTCACAACCAAATTCTTGTAAAGAATTAAGAAAGAGTTTGAAGTATTTGGGAGTTCTTCCATTCAAATTTTGCATTGGTTATTTTCGTTGTGGATAATTTCGATAAATAAATGCTATCGACTATATATATATATTACACATATGACTATTTCACTGGTTTCTGATAGTCTAGTAAAATGCTAGTCGTGATCACAACTTCCAGAGCAACTTTCTCCTCTATCCACTTACTTTAGACATTTCATCCGTCCCCACAATCAATGTTTTTAAATATACTGTTTGAGTGCAAAACGCTAAGCACTTCATCAGAATTCGATAAGATACACTTTTATTTTTGTCTCAATATTGATGGAGTTTTGTTCTCTGAGCTGAATGATGTCGTTCAAAAGAACGATGAGAGTTCCAAGACCAAACCATCCAGTTCAGAGAACAAAACTTCATCAAAATCATTCACCAGAGCTATAAATCTTCACTATTTTGTCTTAATGTTACGTTATTAAGACGGCCAGTATATCAGAAAATTAATTAGGTAGATAGTAGAGCATTGCCCAACAGAATGTGAACTATCATATATATCGATAGATAAAGAATATATCAAGAAACTGGACTTTGAAACAATTGTTTCAAATAACAAAAAAATGAATGAAAAAGAAATCGATGAAATATTTTATACTACTTATTTATAAAAAAATAGAATGTCAAAGTTTATAAGTAATAAATATGGTTTACAGATTGGTCAATTACTGATTGTCAGTATGAAGTTGTGGAGATTGTTAAATATCATTGAAATTATAGACCGACCGATATTAAACTATGATTGAAAACCTAGAACTGTGTGGGGTTGTGAATGTACACTCCTGAGGAGTCTCATACCAATGCTGGTCTAAATTAGATCGGTTCACGATATCAGTGTCATTGATATTTCTTCGAATAAAATTCTGATGATGATGTATCAAGTCATTGGAGGGAGGTATGAATTGAATTATTTCAAACCCTCAGGAATAACCAACTAACTTAATATATGTCTTATTTTCAATTACCTGTTTGTTCGCTAATTTATCGGGATTTCATTCACTTCTGTAAACTGATTTAAGTATCATTGTTACTCATACCATATATAATTACTTCAATAGTTATTTGTTTAAATTATCAAGACGTCGGTATCTAGAGACTGTTCATATTTGAAATTCACATTCATCATGGACTGCAATCAACTTAAAGACAAGAAACTTTCAGACGAATGTTACGTTGTAACGTAACATACGTGAGCATCACGAACATACGACGTCGTCAGGAATCGCTGAGAATAATATCCTAAACAATCATATGATCAGGAGTTGGTTTAACATAGTCATCAATGAGAATTTAAATCTTTATAAAAATAAAAAAAACATTTTGCAGTTATGAGAAAGTAAGTGATCTAACACTTGTTGATAAGAATATCCTGGAAAATTCACTATTATTTGAATTTGACAAAGATGACTTCGTCTACATTGACAGGGAAATGCCACTAGTTGAACCATGTACCTTAATGAATATAGTACGGAGGATCCTTGTTCGTTGAGCCTGAAACCTACAAAACAATCATCTAGATTATATTTTTCAATAGTTTAACTTTTGAGGATTACTTTCGTGACTTACGAGAATCTTTCTCAATGGAATAACATCTCAAGGAACTGATCAAACAAATATGTACTTAATGTATAACCCTTTAAAAAGACGAGTAACGTTTATATGTAAGCAAGTAATGCCAAAAATAAAAGAAAGAATACCCAAACAGTGAACACAAAATCGTTTGTTTGTATGCCCACAATATAAGGGTATTCTACCAGTGAAATCTTAATAGAGAGGTTATTCAGAATGTTTAATACAAGCAACACCATTGTTCATATTTCCTATAGCTTCAACAGTGACAATGAGACTCATAGGCTATTCACTTGTTTTATCTAACAATCCAATAGTTTCTGT